TTGCCCCTTATTAGCTCAGATTAATTTCAACCCTTTTCTGATTGGGTAATGATGTCAGAGACCATAAATTGGTGAAGTATTGGTATATGTAGTATGCAATCTTTCCTCAAGGCATGACAGAGGTGATAACAGTACAAAACTAATAGCATGGTTGTTGCTGATAAAGATGTTGCAAGAATTCCAATAACTGTTATATTTTTTTTGTCCAGTGCACAGTTCATGAAATGTTTCCCTACTGCATGGGACTTTCATCAGATGCAACTACTCACTTACAATGAGAAATGGTTTTCTACCTCTATAAGATTGGCCTTATATAATATGATTGGTGAAGAGAGAAAAAAAAGGCAAATACCTCACCTTAACTAAACCAACATTGCAGTCATGGCAGGTCGAGCTTACCTGTCGATATTGCATAAATGAATTGCTAAGTGTATCTTGTTCTCAACTCCTCAGATGTCGTCTTACCATTCTCTGGCTGAACGTCCTATACATTTATCTGTGGGAGATAAACCCCTCGAGCGTGTTCACTGTATTAAATTACTTGGGGTTCACTTGACTGACACCTTGAAGTGGGATGATCATGTCAAGCATCTCGCCTCATCTTGTTATGGTGTCCTAGCTGCACTGAGGAAAATCAAGAACTTTACAAACTACCATCTTAGAAAACATTTAGTTGAATGTCTGGTTCTATCTCGCCTAGACTTTAATGATATAATCTTCTATCCAATTACTGATTGCCTTTCAAAAAGGTTACAGCCCATCCAGTTTGCGGCAGCCAGTTTTGTTTTTGGACGCTATGTGAACAAGATTGACTCTATTCTTAAGTTAGGCTGGTTGCCTATGAAAGAACGTAGAGAATGGCATGTTCTAAAGGCCGCGCACAAAGCTATATACTCTCATGATTGGCCCAGAAACCTTCAGCTTGAGCAAGAAAGACATGCTAGAAATTTACGGTCATCAAGTACCATACATCTAGTTATTCCCCACACCTCGGACACTTTTCAGTATAGCGCGGCAGCCCTCTTCAATTCTCTGCCATCCAATGTTAAATGTTGTGATAATTTTAAATCCTTCAGTAAGCAAACATTATGTATTTTAAGGGAGCGCTGCTGGAATAGGGCGGAATGATTTCTTGCCTAGTTTTAGATAATGTATGTATAGATTGTATAATTACATTTTACTGATTATTACCTAGCTTTTTACAAATTCATAATTCAGATTTATGTTAATTTCCTCATTTTACTTTTATATCAGGCGAAGAGCCATACCATGGATGTACTGATACTAAACTGTTATTATTATTATTATTATTATTATCATTCCTGCAAGTGTAATGAGTAGTGAATTGTTCACAATAATTACCCTATGTTCTTGTGAACGGATGAAATATTGTTTTAAAGACATTCACATCAAATTGTAAAAACTGGGCTGGTAGAAATTTCGTGGCTACCTCGCGTGTGAACTCACTCCTCATTATGTATCCAGGAGTACAGAGATGAAACTAAAATCTACAACTACCAACAAGAACATGTCTATTTACAGGACTAGTGTATATCAATCAGTCCAGGGCTCAAAATAATTTTGGGATGGTGGCCGGTTACAATTACCAACCAAAGAAAACCTTACTTGGTCAACTATCGCTTTGATGTAAAACGTGAGTTAAAAGATAGCCTAAGATTCACATTTCAGGATTTGACCTTTTCTTATTTTAAGAACAAGTGTGTGACCAGTCAACATGTCCGGCAGGTTATATCTTATTCTGTTGAAAACAGATTATTTTGAGCCCTGCTGTGAAATCTAATCAGTTGAGGCCGTGGTTTTCAAGTGAATTCAAGTTATGATTTTACACTGAGATGCCTGTTATCAATATGGAATAGTCACTAAAGCAACCTGAAATTAACGTGTCTCTTATTAATATTACATAATAAAAAATAGCATTATGATATGTTGATACAAGGATTATATTTGTTGTTAGTGTCATCTTTTTCCCATTTGCCTTTCTTTAAAATGGGCACTGTGGCAAAAAGTTTACAGTCTTTTTCCTGTGGCATCCACAAGAGTTACGCTTAATAATTCTCCCTTTTTAAGGGCTCTTACTAACTTGGGAACTTTAACCAAGGGGCAATAACGCATAACATATTTTTTTTCTAAATGCTTCAGTTGGAAGCAAAGGGCATTCTTGTCTTTAATATTGTCCGGTTCATGGACTACGTCCAGTTGGGGCTCTTTTTTCTGTGTGCTCAGAAATACACAAATAGACAATGCTTGTTGATAGCGTCTTTCAAAAGATGACCCAACCACTTTTAATTTTTCTACATACGTCATAATCTCATCTTCATCATCCTCATGTTCACTGTCCTGCTCACTTGTCTCCTCTTCATCACTTTCTGATCCAACCTCGTGATCCCCCTCTACTCCATCAGCTTCACCTTCCAATGGGTCACAGTATGTTGAAAAAGAGACCAGACAGCAAGGTACATTTGGCATTTTCCCACAGTTGCAGTGGCCTGCACTGCATATGTCAACTTGTGGAAGAAAATCTTCCACAGCATCTGTATTTGGTGCCTGAGTTGGTGGGACAGGCTGTGAGGCTGGTGTTGGAATGATTGAGTAGTTCCACAGCAAAGTTCGCTTGAAATGTCTCGCCGTCTCTGGGATCTTAAGGATCTATGAACTATTTCATAAAACAAGCAGCAAGTAATTTGTCAGCTAAGGTTATTCAACATGAAACATGCATTCTAGAAAGTTAGACATATTCAATTCTACCTTCTTACTGACAAAATTATTATATCAAGTGACAGATATTTTTTAAAAACTGTAATCATTCTCTCGTTCTTAAGGGATGAAAAAAACCAATTCCTCACATCAAAAATGTCTCAGATCAAGAAAGTGTGAATCATCAGCGTTCAAACATATATAATTGACATCAGCTAGAATAGTTTTCTGAACGTTTTGAATGCCAAATTATATCTGGAGGAAAAACATCTGAGGGCTTCGTTCTCCTTGAAACCTTATGAGAACTATTTTATCAGAAAGAAAGGCCAGACAGCTAACTAACGCTCAAACAAGAACAAGCGAACACTGTTTTTGATTAGAAAGGAAAATTTCATGTGAGAGTCTCTAAAATATAAAACTCACCATAAAGTCACAACTGCTGTCCATCTGCACGAGCGCTGGACTTCGCAAACCATTGAAGAACTATGAAATATGCTTGCCAGTTACCATTATTGGCATAAAGGCCACTCGCCGAACACTCAGTTCTTTGGTAACACTCACGTGGATTTGTCTGCAGACAACTTGTATGCAGGAAAATTTAAGAGGAATTAAAGTCAGATCTTCCTCTGACACAGAGTGAACAAAGAGAAGCGGCCGCCCTTTAAAAACCTTGGCCATCGCGTTTGGATTCGCTTTCACCGCCATCTTGATCTTACTCTCACGAGAGCTGGCATGAACTGCTGATGTCACGAAGGAACGTGATGACATACTTGGTATTACAATGCATTGTGGGAAGGCAGTCGTTCCTCCTCTGGCCATACCCTTACAAAACTTGGCTCAGGATTGAGCCCCTCAATATTGGACTGAGGATATTTGGTAATTGGATCGAAGTGAGGTCATCCTCAAAAGGCTTGTATACAGTGCTAGAGACACCAGAAACTTTTCTCTTTTTTTACCTGTGTTGGCTGCTCAGCTGGATTTCGAGCTTTCTGGGTGATAACATCCACAACTGGGCGTGGTTTAATGCCATCAACTCTGCTAGGGATATGCCAAGTCTGTAAATCAAACATTCGTCAAACTAGGGTATCTAAAAGATAGTAATGCTGTGGCACATTCTGTTGAGACTGACATTAGTTAGGCTTAAAAGAATCCGAAATGACCTTGAATGTCTTAATTAACATGTTGGAAAGTAATAATTACCATCAGTCTTTCACAAAAAGTCATGGGAACGTTGTTTAGAAAATGATCAAATGGTTATCAACTCTGGTTCCACAGTAAACTTTAGGAAATGATAGAAATTCAGATTGTTTATTCATATATTTAATATACAGCATACTATCTTTTTTCTGGAAACACGATACTTTTCTTGCTTCTTATTGCACTTTATTAAATAACAGTTTTTTAGGTATATATTAATAGAAAACAACAACACCAGAAAACAGAAGAGAAAAGAAAGACGGAGAAAAAGATAAGGTACTGAGTAGGACTTGAACCCGTACCTTTGGCTCGACATGAGAAAAGTGATGAATTCGAAAGTTCGTCCCACCTTATACATTTCTCTTAAATCCTGATTATGTTAATGCTCGCTGGCTTCGCTCACTCTGCAGCAAATATTACAACAAAGTCATTGTCTAAAACTTTATATTTTTTTAGGTTATAGACTGTGTACAGACGTCCCCCCCTCCCTCAGAAAAAATCGGGAGAAGAGACGTCTGTGAATCGCCGACGATAATCGTGTTCCCGTTTCTCCAGAATGTTGGGGACAGCCTCTGATTGGTTGTAATGTTAATGCCATGACACAAGTAATTTCCGGTGTTGCGATTGGTGAATGAATCTCACAATAGATTCCCCCGGGAAAAACTCAGTCTTTGTGGACAGTTTACTGCATTTATATTTGTTGACTTGAATTTCGCCTCACTGGAATAGGCATGTGAAATTAAGACCACCGATGTTTGCTGCACCGGCTGCGGGTGGACGTGCAGAAATCAACGCTTAATCAGAGATCTTATATCTGAATTTTAGCGTGGACATTGCATGAAGATGTTCAGCTAGCCAGCCTGTGTACAGACGCCAGGGCTATTTTTTGGCCTACATGTGCCGGTCATGACTCATAGAATTAGGTAAAAGTAAGGTTATTGTAGTTTCTTGCTGAAGAGAAATGAACGATCCTTTACATGAAACCTACTCAAAATCATTGAATGGATCAACTCCTGCATAAACGCTTGACTGGAAATGTAAACAGTGCTTCTGAGATCAAAATTCTGTCAAACCAAAAACCACACGAAATTGATGTACAGTAACAGACAGACTTTATGAGCTAAAAAAAAATAATAATAATAATAAACTTCAAGAGCACGAAATACTCGTTTTAAATGACATTTTAGCTAGATATTCTAGTTAGAGCCTAGCTTAGCAATAAATGTTGACAACATCCGAGAGAATAACTGTGTACGTGCTCTAAAAGAGTCCCCAGTCGTGTTGGTCTGTCAACACCTTTTCAACTGTCAGATGAAACAACAACAAAAAATAATTTATCCAAATGTATACCGGAACACGATTAACCACGGCGATTCACAGACGTCTCTTCTCCCGATTTTTTCTGAGGGAGGGGGGACGTCTGGACACAGGCTATTCGGTTAAAATATTCTTGGTTTGCACGTGACATCAGCATAAATTAAAAACCAGGTGTGCGCCATGTTGGGAGATAACCAACCCACGTGTATTCATAAGGCGGAATCAAAATTCTGCCTCTTTAATTATGCCACATCTTTGTGCGGTGTATGGATGCAGTCATAATTCAAAACGTGAGAAGGGACTGTTTAAATTCTTTGGTTTTCCTTCTGTTATTTGGAACCAAGGAGAAGAAACAAGAAAACAAACGGAAAAACGGCGACGAAGATGGTTGGCGAATGTTAATCGCGCAGATCTCGATGCCAAAAAGCTCGATCATTATCACTTTTGCAGCAACCATTTTATCTCAGGTAAAACCAATTTTCAAATTATCGAATACAATGACAGGTTCAAAATTCACTAGCGGTATTTTTTGTTAAGTTATCCATTTGTTTTGTTACCGGGTCCCCATCGAGTCTGTATGATAACACAAACCGTGATTGGGCACCATCCTGAAACATCGGGTATGATAAAATAAAAAACACTAACCTTGCTTGTGAACGTGATGCCCGAGCCAAGGAACGTAGTCGGAAACGAAAGATTGAAGAAGAAGAAGAAGCGGAACAAGCAAAGCAAATGGCGAAAGAAGAGCCCGATGTTCAGCTGTGCAAAGAATCTACGGATGAATCAGCGAGCCAACCCCAAGGTAAACAAATAAATATCCTTCTTACTTTTTATTCAGATCACAATATGTATAAAAAACAGTCACAGTTTCTTAAATATATTTGTATTTTATTTACCGCGAAGAAGAAAACACGGTTTGGTTTGTGGACACGTGTGAGTATTAAGATTCACTGAAACCCATAAGCAAGATTCCTATTGAAATCACTCCTAACTTTAATGTTCCCGGATACTTCCAGGTAAGTACAGGTTCCAGATTAAACTGCTTATATGCTACATAAGATCATAGTCAGATCTTTGATTTGACTAAAAAATATCAGAATTTTGACAAAATTGTTCATGTAAAGGTATCGAAGTTCTCAGTACTTAAAAAATGCAATGTTCTTAAACTATAAACTATGTTTACAACTACACAGATCCATTTCCCGACACAGACAATGACAAAGACTGTCAGTCAAATGTTACTACATCAGATGCACAGTGTCAGACAAGCCTTACAGTGGAGGATATGGAGAGGGAAGCATGTTTTATTCGAAACTCTACAACAGAACTTAACGAGTTAAAGAAACAACTACTGAATATAGAGATATCTCGACAGGCATTCTCTAAAAATGATGAGAAAACTAAGTTTTATACTGGTATTCCAGATTTTGTTTTACTGACTCACGTTTTTAATTTATTTGCCCCACCTGTCAAGCATACATCTACCAATGTCCTCTCGCAGTTTCAAGAATTTTTAATTACTTTAATGAAGCTTAAGTAGCGCTTCGCCTAAGACGGAAAGTGAAAACAATAGGCTGGTGGTTATGGTGCGGCAAATAGGACAAATCGAAGTGTGTGGCCTTTAAAGTGAATAGCAACACCTTTAAAGCGAAGACCAACACCTTTAAAGTGACGAGGTATTCCGTTAAAATGAATACCTACACCTTTAAAGTGAAGACCTACCCCTTTAAAGTGATGAGGCATTCCGTTAAAGTGAATACAAACACCTTTAAAGTGAAGACCTACACCTTTAAAGTGACGAGGTACATCTTGAAACTGAAGAGCTACACTGCGTTGAAGTGAAGCTGAACGAAATGATCTCTAAAATGACAAGGAACATGTTCAAGTCAAAAAGTTTTGCTTTAAATTGACGAGGTACACCTTTGAAGAGACGAGGTGCACCTTTAAAGTGAGCATAGGCCTGCGGTTCAGAAAACAGCGGCTACCCATAATGGGCATGAGTCAAGGACATGAGCGGATCTCAAATATCCAATATGGCGGAAGTCGTTTCTCAGAGAATAACGAACGAATTGACTCGGCTGTATGCTGCTGTAAACGAAGTAGCTAACAGGGCGGTTGTCACATCTGATGATATACAGTATTTCATAAACTGCCTGGAACATTTTCATCGTCATCTTCTTCGATTAAGCGAAAGTGGTTTTGTAACAGCACATTGCGTGAGGATTTTGCAAGATGCTCTTAGCGGCCTTCGAGACAGCGGAATCCCTGAAGATTTAATTCCTGCACCGGGTTCGAACATGCACCTGTATCGAGAAAAACCCCTAGGGAGACCTAAATACTTCCTTAGTAGGGATCAGTTAGAATTCCTGTTGTCTTTGGGATTCAACAAGACCCAGTTGTCAGAAATGCTGGGTATGTCTGCGCGTACCATTCAGCGTCGAATGGCAGAGTACGGCTTGTCAAGCAATAACTATTCTGACCTTTCAGAAGAAGAACTGGATCGTATGGTGACAGAAATTAAAGAGCAATTTCCTCGAGCTGGATATCGACAGGTTCTTGCAATTCTAAAATCCCATGGTGTTTTTGTGCGGGAACATGAATTAAGAGACAGCGTTCAACGATGTGATCCTTTGGGTACCTCCCTAAGATGGTTTGCCACAATTGAAAGGCGACAATACAGTGTCCGGGGGCCTTTAGAGCTATGGCATGTGGATGGGAACCATAAGCTGATCAGGTGAATGTGCAGTACATTATATGACCTAAAATGCAGTTTTTCTCCGAGGCATTGCCAAGGTTTATAATCAAAGGCAACTGTTCTGTTCATGCTTTTTACTGACCGACCCTGATGCAAATACCAGAGAAAGTGAGGGAAAATAGGAGTCTTGATGGGAATATTTTCCAAGTTATCCCAAACTTGCTCCGTTGTTTGTATCAGGAGGTGACTATTTTCCAAACAAACAAAATGCAGAGAAATATCATACAGGTAGCCAAGTTTGCATACCCCATAGAAAACCCATTGACCTCGTGCATTTTTCAAGCAAAACTTGGTAAGATTTTCTGAAGTTGCTGCACATACAAGAGAATTTAGACTAGAACACCAATAGGGTTAGGGGAAGCAGTCCATAGTGAAAGTTCGCTTCCCTCACCTTGTTATGGCGGATCAAAGACTTGTGTGAAAAAAAATTACATTATAATTTATTATCCATTTTCATAGGTGGCGAATGGTTCTGCATGGTGCAATTGATGGATACTCTCGTTTGGTTGTCTTTCTTCATTGTTCAAATAACAATCGTGCTGAAACAGCGCTACAGTTGTTTATGAAAGCAGTTACTGAGTTTGGCTTGCCATCTCGATTGCGGACTGATAAAGGTGGTGAGAACACAGCAGCTGCTTTGTACATGCTGCAACATCCTTTGAGGGCAACTGGACGAGAGAGTGTGATAGCTGGCAGTAGCACCCACAACCAAAGAATCAAGAGGCTGTGGAGGGATGTTTTTAGTGGTGTCTTGTGTTTGTATCAAACACTATTTTACCATCTTGAGGAACAAGGTGTTCTTGACCCACTAAATGAGGTTGATCTGCTTGCTCTTCACACAGTATTTTTACCCCGTGTTAACCGTCACCTGGACATTTGGAAAGGAGGTTGGAACAATCATAGCATGAGAACTGCAGGAAGCCTTTCTCCTCTCCAGCAGTTTGTCAGTGGAATGCTACAATTACGTGGTTCTGGTTTGGAAGTAGCCAAGGAAATGTTTTGTCAAGTAGATGAGGCAAGTACATGTAACAAAGAATGTTGTCCATGTATTTAACAAGTACAGACTCTTCATAAACTTGAAATATGAAGATCCCAAATTTATGATGAAAACAGTATTTTTAGAGATGTTTTTATATTATTTGAATTATTATTCAACAGGAAGAAGTCTCCTCATATGGCATCGACTGGGATGGACCCATTCCCAATGAGTCTTCTCCCTCTGATGACTTTGAGATAGTGGAAATTCCAAACATTGAAGTCAACGTTAGGGAAGAGCAACAGCAACAACTAAGTTTATTGGTTGATCCACTTAGTGACAGCGATTGTTATGGCATTGATTTATATATTCAGGCACGTAACTTTCTGCACTCACTGACTTAATACAAGAACTGTATGCAATACTCCCACTGGGTGTAAACTTACCCAATAAAGAAGGTATCACTAAATTGAGTAAACTGGTCTTAAAATGTAAATTTATCACCAGAGATGCTGATTGCTTAGTAAAAAGATATCCTGTGCATAGTATATGTTATGCATAATTTAAATAGTTAAGGTCAGCACACATGAGGGGACTAGTTCCTGCGACTAGTCCCTGCAACAAGTCGCGGGGACAAGTCCCATTGTCTGAACTGGCCATTTTTGCTTCAAAATCTAGTCGCAGTGACCATCTTTGGTCCCTGCAACTAGTCCCACGAATTCAAGCCAGTTTGAATTTTTGGGACCAGTCCCCTCATGTGTGCTGACCTTAAAGCTAACTGAAAATTGCTTCAATAAGTAAACATGCAATGAAAGCAGTCATAGAAAGAGGATACAACAATCTAACTTTTAATGCACAGGAAAGAGCATAAACAGCTATGATAACTCCTGGGATTGAAAACAAACTTATTACTTGACCCAACATCAACTTTATCTTTGTCTCCATGGTCAATATCTGTAACACAACGGTTTTTCACCAATGAAATACAGTCATTGGGTCAATAGCTGAACAAGAATAGGAAAATGTTCTATTACATGGCAATCAGGTATAAAAATACATGTATAATAGCCGAGATCTGAATCAAACTTCTAGCTGTGTCATCTCTTCTTGATGGACTTGAAATGTGAATAAAATTGTTATTATAATCATGAAATCGTATTTTCTTTTTGTTTCAACTGGCAACAATATTTTTTTGCACTCAAAAAAACAAAAACAACGCAAGGAGTGAACATTCAGTGGTACTCCTCACTTTGAATGCAACATGTTCCCCTAAGGTATGAATAATGCTCTTCAGTAAAACACAACTGAAAGTGCTTAGGAATATGACAACAGGAATCAGATTTTCAGAATCTACCATATCCTACAGCTCCTGATAGTAACGAAAGATTGCATGCTGCCTTGAACTCCTCATAGCAACTATGTGAGATTGGTAGTATCACTTTACGAAAACAACTGTCTGCCTCAAGAAGTTTCCTTCTGGTATCAGTCTGAAATGCAACTTCCAAATCCTCTTGTGGGTCAAGAACTGTTCTGCCAGTAATGAACATCACCAGTGAGTTACTTAGTGGGTATCCCGTGTTTTCATCTGCAAAGTTAACCCCCAAAACAAAGTGCATAAGAAAATTAATATTGAATTGTTGCCATGTCTCTCCAACCTTTTACTTTGAGATATGGTGGATATTGACTTCAATCAATATTGCTACATACAAATGACTCTTTTCACTTAATGTCAATGGCATTACTACTGGACCATTTCTATCTCGTTTTTCTATTTAGAAATGCCATATAGGTGTTCAAAACACTGCCAGGGACTTTTTTAGGCAAACTGCTTATTTACATGTATATGGCAAGTACATGTGTAAAGGCAGACATGGTGAGGTTTCACTGCTTCCATGAGAATCATGTCACTTGATATACTTGTCCATGTTTCTAAAAACTTATTTTGACATTCCACATGTTCACATTCTAGCATCTAGCAGCTGTCTGCATTTGTGATTAGAATTCAGTCTCAAAACCATAACTCCAAATGTAACAAAAGAACTGAATGATTTTACCCTCAGATGGGAATAGTACAGTGCAAGCACATTACTCACCTACATTTGAGCTAGTGTTGTCGACATACTCAAGAAACCATTCCCAAGCCTGTGCTTGAGCTTCACCAACAATTTCATGGATGGGATGTCCTTGAAGTAACTTGCTTTTCAGTATGTCCATGTCAACTGAAGCTTCTTCCATTGTGGGAAATACAAATTTAGTTATGGAGGGATGCTTGCGAAGCAAATCACCCAGTCCAAGTGTGTTAAGACCTCGGAAGAATGAGTCAAGGGCAATTGTTCTCGTAACCAACACTTCGGCAACAAGGAGATCCTTGATAGCCTTCTCTTTGTTAACATCACTCAGTGGTACTGCATCTGTTAGTCCATGTCGGACCAGCAACTCCTCAACCTTATCTTTTGCTTCATCATCTACCTGATGCATAGCCTGTTCTTTTAAAACCTAAAGGACATGGTGAAGCAATGTTCATTCTGTTTAGTAACAACACAAGTACACAGTATTGGCTTAATAGACAGACTCCGACGGCTCGCTAGTATCTAACTCAGATGACTCTGAAGACTTCGATATACGAACCAAGCTAAATTCTATTTGCAAAGACATTGAACTTCTAAAATCTAACTTTGAACGGCTGAAACAGTCGACTGACCTTCCCGCCAATTCCAGCCAAGTCGAAGCATTGGAAAATGAAAACATGGCTTTAAAAATCCAGCTCAAGGACGTCCAAGCCGAGCGAGACTCGCTCAAACTGGCGCTAACATGTCTAGCTAAAGATCTGAATGGTCTTATCTACAACCAAGAGTCAACGGAAAAAAATCAAAATCCCCAAGAAGCAAGCGAGAAAACCTCTGCTAACGATGGCCCTTGGGAGCAAGTTGGAAAAAGGAAACAAAGAAATGCAAATAAGATCAAAGCTAAGAACAAAAATAGCCCTTCACTGGAGAAGAACAAAAGTGGCCCTTCATCAAATGAAGAAACAATCATTGTAGGCGATTCAATAATCAAAGGATTGGGAAGGGACTTATTAAGTCGAGCAGCAAAACGGCCCGTAACTGTGAGAAGCTTCCCTGGTGCAACAACCGCCGATATCAAGCATTACCTACAACCGAGCTTGGAAGCAAAACCGAAGGCGATAGTTCTTCACGTCGGGACGAACGATCTTAAAAATTCATCATCTGGGCGAAATGTCGCGGAGAAGATTGTTGCAATGTTGGGCAATGTTATTGCAACAAATTCACCTGACACTAAACTGACCATCTCTGCAATTACACAAAGATTCGATGAAGACTCGCTCAAGAAGAAGATAACAGATTGTAATAAAGTTTTAAGAACATTTTGTAACCAACATGGTTGGAGCTTTGTCGAGCATCCAAACATTGACGAGACGTGTTTGAACAATCACAAACTGCACCTTAACAAAAAAGGTATTGCTATTTTAGCTAGTAATTTCGTAAATAATATTGTTCGTTGACATGATTCCTATTAGACTCCTATTCAACAACTGTGGCGACACCTAATTCCACCACCACAACTAGTGCCAGGAGCAATTCGAATCCTGATTTTATATTTCCCAAGGGTCGTGGGTTTAAAATGGCTAGCTTAAATATTACAAGTCTATTGAAACATATAGATGAACTTCGTATCGTATTAGATGGTCAACCCATTGATATACTAGCTATTAATGAGACGAGACTCGACGGGAGTATATCTGATCAGGATGTTAAAATTGTGGGTTATGATGTCATCCGTCGTGACAGGACCGTTAATGGGAGATTTGGTGGGGGTGTATGCTTCTATATTCGTTCGAATATAAATTACGTAGTCCGCGAGGATTTAGATAACGAACTTTTAGAAATCTTATCGATTGAAATTTTAAAACCTAACTCAAAACCTTTTGTTGTTACCTCGTGGTACCGACCGCCAAATTCACTTATAGACCTTTTCTCGAATATTGACTCCTTGTTAGCAAGACTTGATTCCGAGAATGTTGAACATTATCTTATGGGTGATATGAATTGCGATTTGCTGTCCAGCGAAAACATCTATGCAAGGGCTCTGTTAAATGTTACCGATATTTATGGCTTAAAACAATTAATCGACGAGCCTACTCGAGTCACACCCTCAACAAGTACCCTAATTGATCTTATTTTCACCAGTCACCAAGACAATATTCTCTGTTCTGGGGTGACACACGTGGGTATAAGCGATCACAGTCTTGTTTACGCGTACCGTAAAATTTCAATCCCGCCTGTTTCTAAAGGAATCAATTTGATCAGCTATAGACAATTTAAACACTTCAACAGCAATAATTTCCGTAATGATGTTTCGACGCAACCGTGGGACGATATCAAAGAACTGTACGACCCCAATGACATGTGGAAAAAATGGAAAGAATTATTCCTAAGTGTTTGTGATAAGCACGCCCCTGTGAAAACTAAACGCACCCGTCCCACCAAGTCTCCTTGGATTACCACAAATTTGAAAAAACGAATGAATTTCAGAAACCGGCTAAAGAAAAAAGCTGTTAAAACTAAGGATGCGTCCTCTTGGAATCGATTCCGGAAGGTCAAAAATAAAGTAAATCAGGAAATCAAGGCTGCTAAAAAGGCCTATTATAATAATTCTTTTAATAATTATGCCGGTGATCAACGTAAGACCTGGAAGACCATCAATGAATTGACTTCCCGCAAATCTAATAAAACAATAATAAATGAAATTCAATATCAGGGACTAAAATCGAGCAATCAAGCAGAAGTTGCTGAATTGTTGAACACTTTCTTCATTGAGATTGGACCAAGGCTTAGTCGAAATGTTTCGAATGTTGATACCACCTACAAAGAGTTTCTTTGTGGAACTTCTAAGGAGTTTGTCTTCAAGGAAATAACATCTGCTCATATTTATTCTCTCCTTTCAAAACTTTGTAAATCAAAGGCCACTGGATTAGATAGTATATCAGCTAAATTATTAAGGGAGTGCCCTGATCTAATTGCCGAGTCTCTTACTTTAATATTTAATCAATCACTGTTGACAGGAATTTTTCCCGATGAGTGGAAGTCGGCTAGGGTTACTCCATTGTATAAAAATTCTGGTAAACGAAATGATCCCACCAATTATCGACCAATATCGGTGATCCCAGTCGTGGCCAAAGTATTTGAACGGGTAGTCTACGACCAGTTGTATCACTATCTTACTGAGAATCGTATTCTATCCCGTTACCAATCTGGTTTTCGTTCTTTACATTCTACTGTAACCGCATTACTCGAAGCTACCGATAGCTGGGCAGTGAACGTTGATCGTGGCCTTGTCAATGCCGTTGTCTTCTTAGACTTAAAAAAGGCTTTCGACACAGTTGATCATCATATCTTATTAACGAAATTACAATATTATGGATTACGCGGTTCCTGTCACGAATGGTTTACTTCGTATTTAAACAATCGTACCCAAACTTGCCAAATTAATTGCTCAATGTCAAACCCAAAATTAGTTACATGTGGTGTTCCCCAGGGAACAATTCTTGGACCTTTATTGTTTTTACTGTATATTAATGACCTACCTAATTGCTTGCATTTTTCACAACCTAGAATGTATGCCGATGACACCAGCCTAACCTATGCCAGCGCAGATTTAAAACTCATAAATGACTGCGTTAACGACGATTTAAACAAGGTGTATATATGGCTATCGGCTAACAAACTGACCCTTAACTTGACTAAAACTGAGTTTATGTTAGTTGGGTCGAGGCAGAAGCTATCAAAGCTTTCTGAAACTCCTTCTTTTATGATAAACGACCATCCCGTGATGCAAGTGTCAACGGCAAAATCTCTTGGAGTGCATATTGACCAAAACTTAAGCTGGGAATGCCACATACAGAGTATTTGTAAAAAGATTGCTTCTGCTTTGGGTGCAATTAAAAGAATACGACATCTTATTCCTTTTAATGTATTAATTAATGTTTACGACAGTTTAATTCAACCGCATTTTGATTACTGTAATGTCGTATGGAGCAACTGCGGCATTGGTCTTTCCGATAAGCTGCAGAGGCTCCAAAATCGTGCAGCCCGTATTCTAATGTCCGCTAATTCTGATTGTAATGTGGACGATTTGTTCCTGGCACTGGGTTGGCGTAAGCTTAAACACCAAAGACAAGTATCGACGGCTATTATGATGTATAAAACCGTACATGGGATGACTCCCGACTATCTAACATCTAAATTTGTATCTCGTGACGAAATAACTTCTTATCGATTGAGGAATACTGAAAATAAATTAGTCCTTCCACTGCCCCGTACCAATTATTTAAAGAAAAGTTTCTCCTATAGCGGAGCTAAGCTGTGGAACAGCCTATCCCATGATTTAAGATCTGCAGATTCTTTACATGATTTTAAACGCAAACTGTGTCGCAACAGTTTTGAATGAGATCATACATTAATACAGTTTTACATGGCATCCTTGAAAAGCAGCTTTTATTTGTGAATAGCTAGGTAGTTAAAATATGAATATATTTTTAATCAGAGTTAGTTTAGTTAGGTATAATAGATCTTAGATTTTTTTTTTGTACATGCTGAAGGAACCTTAACCGTGTTTAAATAAAGTTATCTATCTATCTATCTATCTATCTATCTATCTATCTATCTATCTATCTATCTATCTATCTATCTGTTTTGAAATAGGTACAGTATGTAATAATTGGCAGTCTTAAAGAAAATTGGGTGGAATCACTATGTTTTCCAATTTTAATATTGTAATAGGCTGGTAGTAGAAAGGAAAAAGTGATGGATACCTCTAGAAACTGAGGCAATGGAAATTTGAAAGTTGTGTGAGAACATGTTATAATAAGTTAATAAGTTAGTGTTGGGTTAGGGGAGGGGTAGGTGCACAGTTGCCCAGAAACTGATATTGATCTGGATTTTGCAAGCTGCTTGATACATGGCAAGTGTTACAGTAAGATTCATAAGTTTAAGCATTGTAACAACAAAACTTTTATTGTAGCCTATCTAACCTTTTCTTCCAGGAGTCCCTTGAGCTCAAGATCGGTTAGATCATCCATTGTAACAAGGGTCGCAGCCTCCTCCAAGGAACCAGTGTTAAGGTATTTAACTACAGCAGGAGATAGGCCTACCAATCCTGGGCCATCATGCTTCAAACTATGTGCCACAAGTTTCCCTGCTACTTGAAAACACCCTGAAGAAACAGCATCTACTCCATAAAAGGGGATTAGATGTCCCTCTTGACCACCAAACAACTGCATATTGAATACAGGATCAACTTTACTCAAGGAACTAATGGCACTGTGAAAGAATTCTTTAGTTGGACCTCCCAAGTCAGCACCTTGCTCTCCGTGGAAGTTTACATTCACACGTTTCTTTAAGTTAAATTGAGGGTTCTTGTAAATTGTCATTATCTGGCGGAGCATAGACAACTGCATTCTGTTAACATCAATATATGCTGTGCCTTGCTCTGTCTGGCATCTGTAGGACTGCATAATTTCCACAGCTGTGGGTGCATGTGTGGTAATGGATGGCTTGCCTACGAAAGAGACAAATTGTACAATAACTGTCAATAGTATATTGAATTAACATTGCACACTGCAATGATTCCGTTTTGGGCAATCTTTCCAATGAATGCCCTTTTTCTAATAAATTATCCTCCTTGATTTTTGGTCATTGTTGTTGTGTTTTTTTTAAGGAACTTCTCTGATTGACATAAAAGTGAATACTATTGACTATATTGACTTGGAAGAAAAGAAAACAGTGATATTACGAGTCTATTACCCATACATGTCGTCTATCATTCTAATAATCTCTCAAGGTTGAAGGTACCTGAAGTTTGGGCTTACCAGTTTCAGTAGAGCTACTATCCCTGTCACCAGCATTTGAACCTTATAATTAATCATATGAAAAAATATTAATGACCCAAACAGTAAAATATAATTTTGATTGCATACCTGTACAATCAAGTAGACCCATTATAAATCTAGGAGAAATATTTATGTTGCATGTTATGCAACAACTTAAGAAGCTGCATGTCAGGAAAAAAACATTCAGTGAAGTTTGAATGCTACTAGGCCTCAATTTGACAGCTCCATTATTTTACAAACAAAGGAGATGAAATGTTGCAAGCTTTTGACTGCTTATAAGAAATTCAACTAAAATTTCATCCTCTTCAAGGAAAAACATTTTTATAAACATTCACAACAAAATAAGGTGTTGTGGGTTCCTAATACTGACCCGATTCCAAAAGTAGATCTATTACTTCTTCAAGACTACCACCAATGTCCAGAGCTGACTGCAGGTCAGAGCTTGATTTAACAGGAAAAATTCCTTGTAAATCTGCAAGGGCAGTGGGACTGATTGCACCCTTTTCCTGCCATCCTTAAAATGTAAGATATTTAAAGCATGATTACAACCAAGCAACATTTGCATTGCACCTTTTCGTTTTCATCCCCAGGATCAACATGTAAAACATTTTTATATTTGTGCAGTGAGAGAAATCAAATTTTATGCATAAGAAAACATTGAAAAGAAAAAGAGACAATTTCTACAAATAATTATTAGCCCACTGCACCATAGTCATCACACTGATGGTTTTCTGTTCCAGGGGAGGGACAGACCTAGCTGTGTATAATTTACACTTTATTAGAAGAGATTTACAGGTCATGTCTTGTCAGAAATTTCAGCTCACCATCAAACACCAATGCACACAATTCCCTAGTAAGAAGAGTTGTGCAAAACTAGCCACACTGCACTCCACACTTTATTTTCTCAGTTTGCTTTTTATAATGTA